AAAATATATAATTATCTCACCTAAATGTTTGATCATGCAATGCTTTTTTGTTGTTATAATGAGGCAGTTGTTGCACAATAGCTTTCACGCAGCACAAGCCTGATTGGTGAGCTGTATGTGAGGCAGCCTTGTGTGCGCGCTTCGAGTGAACCATCTCTAGGAGAGTGTGCGAGCGCCGAGCGGTTTAAAACACTGGCAAGACTTAAAAAGAAATACAAATTATAAACATCAGTGTGTGAGTGTGAGAGAGAGAGAGTGTTCTTTACCTTCCTCAGTTTAGTGTATCTCTCCTCTGGTGTATCCAGTCCATTGGTCAGAGCACTGACTGACAGCCCATCACTGATTCCTACAACAACACACACACACACACACATTAATACACACTCACTCACACACACACAGGTTTGTTTTTGTGATGAAGAGACGAGAGAAAACACGAGGAGGCCGTCTGTCTGTCTGTCTGTCCCGTGACCTGATTACAGGAGCCTGCACCGGTTTACTCTTTCACCAGCTTTTCTTTCTGTTTGCAGCATTTTAATCGTGTGATGTCATCAAACACAGCTCCTCCTGAACCCATACAACAATCAACACGTCTCAATAACCGTGATCAGATTCACACGCTACTGTCAGACTCCACACACTACCCACACTCTCACACTCACTCTCACTCTCACTCTCACACTCTCACACTCACACTCACTCTCACACTCACTCAAACACTCACACTCACTCTCACTATCACACTCACTCTCACACACTCATGGCCGTCTGCCACAACACTGATCTACCAATCAATAGCCAACAAAACACTGGAGGCTCTCTCACACACACGCACACACACACACACACACACACTCTCACACACACACACACAGGGACAGACAGACACACACACACTCTCTCTCACACACACAGGGACAGACACTCTCACACACACTCTCTCACTCTCACACACACACACACACATACTGGTTTCCTTGGTTTAGCAGGACTTTGATGGCCAACCC